CTGATTTTCAAATTTTGAAAAGACAGATTATTAATCAGTAAGGTTTGGAATATAGCTACACCACAATCTACATGTCCCATGTAGTTCAAATCTGTGACTTCACCCTTTTACAAAGCACAGTTCCTAACATTTCCATAACAGTTCTGCTTACACAGTAAATTACCCTATCCAACCTTTTCTTTATTCAAGGTATTCATGTATAAAACTCTGATATACAATTTCTCTGTTCCAACAAATCAAGATACTTGTATGAACAAAGGAGATTTACTTGCCAACTGTAACTGAGAAAACAACTCAGAACCAAGGGCAGTTTGAGCATCTGAACCTTTAGAAAGAAGTATTACAGGCCATTTGGAGACTACAGTGCTGATAAAACTAGATCGCACAACTTAAACAATTGCATATTTACAATTCTGCGGCATCAGCATTTTCCCAGTCAGATCAATATTACTGACTCTCAAACATGTTTAATGCACCTCTTTTTCACAGTTACAATACTGAGAGACTATAAAAATTCAACTGCAGTTACTCTTATTATTGTTGGGGGTGGAGGGGAAAGCTTCAAAAGATACACAAAATAGTTAAGTTCATATTATGTATATATACAGGCACACACTCCTTCCTGCATTGCATGCTCACACACACACTCCAGAACTACACACATCACAATTTAAGTTATAATAAGAGACGGAGAAGTGGAAGGGGAATTTCTATATTCTTTGTCATCAGAACTTGAAGGTGTGTATCAACTGTGAACCCAACATGTGTCAATAGAAAATTCTGGACTGTGTGATACAATGTGGCCTCATAGCAGCTTGAGCAGTACAAACTGAAAATTATAGGGTCATAATGCAAGAGGGCTGCTGGCCATGGGACTATGAACAGCTGATAAGAAATCACTTCTGGCTTGAAAAAAACTACGTGCTCAGTTATAATAGATGATTAGCACTTTGATATTTGGCATTCTATATTAACATGGATTAATCTTGGTCACACATGTATGATGCAACAACTGAATATTTTTGCTCAAATAATTAACCAGTCCTTTCATTATATCGAGCCACAAAAATACAGAGCACAGGATGTACCAGTATTTCTGTAAAAGAATCAATCAAGCAGCAGGACTGCATGGGAAAACCCGATAAGGTAATCTCAGTCCAAAGTCGAGAGAAGATTACATCAGAATTATGATCTATAGGTATATACATAATTTTCTTTACATCCATGGTTGTACTTCCTGATCATTAATTTATGTGCTCCTACTATATACCTAATTCTATAAGAAACTTCTGACATTAACATAATGCCAACAGGATTTATGTGGAAGCCTTTGTGTTGTAACATGACTATTTCTGAACAACTTGCATATATGTTCACTAATAAAAGTCCACTATAAGAAATTCGCTGCCTAATTATACACAAGTATCTTATTTGTCTACCATCCCTTTCCTGCAACACTCATCTACAGTCTTGACCCCAGACAGACATGGTAAGGTAAAAGGTAAAGTTGTCCCTGTGCTTAAATTAATAAGCTCTATGCCAAAGAAAAAATGTATGAGGGCGTGGATGTACAGATCTGAGTTTACTTGACCTTGGCACTAGTTGGAGGTGAGTGGTCAGCTTCACGCCTCAGCCAGTTTACCCCTAGGGAAAGAGCCCCTGGTAACCATTCAGTAGGAGGCTGGGTGGGCCCCAGAACCAGTCTGAGTGACGTGGAGAAAATTCTTGACCCTACTGAGACCTGAATGCCAACCCCTCAGTTGTTCAGCCCATGGTGTCATTATACTGACTGCACCATCCTTATGACTTCCATAAAATTATTTTTTATTTCCTTCTGAATGAAGGACAAAACACCAATTTACATCCAAGCTACAATACCCACACACTGTCTGAATTTTGATAAGGGCTCAAATTTTCAAACCATAGCATACAACCTGTAAGATAATCGGAATGTACAACAATATAAATAAAGATAACAGACAGCTCCAGCATGTTTCAAAAGGCATTAGTATTTCAATTGTACAGTAAAGAAAAACGGTAAACATTTGTAGAAACTGTTCAGAAATCTCATGTTCATATTTCCTCATATACTAATTTCTCAAGAAAGCTTATAATGAAATGAGATATTATGGTTCTTTTTTTATTTGTTCAGTCTCTTAATGTTATTTTGAAAGATAACACTACTACATAAGACCTGATATTTTAGTAATTCCTGCATACTGTCAGATATGACTCACCTAAAAAGTACTGTGTGAAAAACTATGTAAAGGCATTATTTCACCCATACAAGTGAGGTAAATAAAGTATATATTTCAACAATTAACAATCATGTGAATATATAAACCTTTTCTTATCCTACAGAAAAGATGCAGAGTTTAAATGGCAGGATCAAATATACTGTTTTCTATACAAATGACTCAAAATAAATGGGTGCTTCAGTGATATATCTTCTTAGTGATCCCAAACAGTGGAATTGTTAGATAATTTGTACCTACAGCAAAGCATGAGAAATTTAAGACAGAAAGAAAACTTTACAGATATTCAGCTTTTAAACATTTCCTTCATTGCCATCCACCTATGTTGATGTAGTAGTAAATAACATATTTTACAGATTTGGCAGCATAATTTTTGCAGGTAACATCAAATACCACAGTGTACTAATACCATTTTTGTCTACAATTTAAAGAAGCCTCATAAGATCATGTGCTTGAATAATTCTGAGCAATATATCTGTTGACGGACAGAGACAATGGGTGTTGTCCAATTCACTTTCACTGCAAATGAATGTCACTGCTGGTAGGAAATCATTTCACACAGGAAAGAGAAACAATGTATCTCAGTACTCGTATTCTAACACATTAATTGTCAAACTAAATGCAATGTGAAAATACTGATTATATTCAATTCTTTATTGGAGTCCATCATAACACAATGACATAACGGTCAAAGTCAACATTACTCAGCTACATGTTTCGGCTTTTAAAGCCATCAAGGCAAAACACATGATTACAATATTCACACACTATTGAATTGCAATTTCATTGTGATAGTAAAGCTGGATACTTGATAACTGTTACATTATAAAATACATGGCATAAAAATACAGTGAATTATAAACTTATTATAAAACGAAAGTTATGAAGTAAAATAAGGTTAAAAAGTCTTCATGTGATATTGCGTATCATGAAGTCAGTTGTTGCATATTCCCGTGAACATATAGCAGTATATTCAGGACTTTTATACATATAGTAAACTGTTTGGAGGCCTGTGGTGTAGATGTACTATTACTTGATATTAATCTATAAATGATGCGACAATAACAGCTGTTAAATTTATTGTAATTAACTACTGATTTGGTATCAATGACATAGTTGTATTGTTTACTTACTCTTTGGCTGGTGCTTCATCTTACAACATATTTTGTCTGCTCTGTTGGGAATACAGATTGCAACCGATTTGGTGATGTATGTTATTTGTGAATTCGGTGCAGGAGAGGGAGGGGAGGGGGAGGTAGTGATAGGGTGTGTGAGGATGTGGTGGGAGGGGAGATATAAATGTTGTTTATGCTTGGTATGCATCTATTATTACATCATATATAGGGTTAAAAATTTCAGTAATATTATCATTCAGTTGTATATTTTGTTTGCTGACTTCATAAATATGAAATCTTTTGTAAGTATCCAGTGTTCGTCCTTTCTTGCCGATATATAAAATTTCAAAATTTTTGTCCATTGTGCTGTATTCGTGTGTGGTGTCTAATATATGCTGAGAAAATCTGGAGTTTAGTCCATTATTTTTTATGTCTCTTATGTGTTCTCTGAATCTGATTTTAGATGTATGTCCTGTTTGTCCTATGTATTTCAACGGACAGTCAGCACACTGTAGTTGGTAAACTCTGCTCTGGCTGTAGTTACTGTTTTTTTTTTTCATTTATTTTTAAAAGGTGTTTAATATTGTTTTGTGTCCTATATAAGATAGGACAAACAGGACATACCGTCAAAATCAGATTCAGAGAACACATAAGAGACATAAAAAATAATGGACTAAACTCCAGATTTTCTCAGCATATATTAGACACCACACACGAATACAGCACAATGGACAAAAATTTTGAAATTTTATATATCGGCAAGAAAGGACGAACACTGGATACTTACAAAAGATTTCATATTTATGAAGTCAGCAAACAAAATATACAACTGAATGATAATATTACTGAAATTTTTAACCCTATATATGATGTAATAATAGATGCATACCAAGCATAAACAACATTTATATCTCCCCTCCCACCACATCCTCACACACCCTATCACTACCTCCCCCTCCCCTCCCTCTCCTGCACCGAATTCACAAATAACATACATCACCAAATCGGTTGCAATCTGTATTCCCAACAGAGCAGACAAAATATGTTGTAAGATGAAGCACCAGCCAAAGAGTAAGTAAACAATACAACTATGTCATTGATACCAAATCAGTAGTTAATTACAATAAATTTAACAGCTGTTATTGTCGCATCATTTATAGATTAATATCAAGTAATAGTACATCTACACCACAGGCCTCCAAACAGTTTACTATATGTATAAAAGTCCTGAATATACTGCTATATGTTCACGGGAATATGCAACAACTGACTTCATGATACGCAATATCACATGAAGACTTTTTAACCTTATTTTACTTCATAACTTTCGTTTTATAATAAGTTTATAATCCTCTGTATTTTTATGCCATGTATTTTATAATGTAACAGTTATCAAGTATCCAGCTTTACTATCACAATGAAATTGCAATTCAGTAGTGTGTGAATATTGTAATCATGTGTTTTGCCTTGATGGCTTTAAAAGCCGAAACATGTAGCTAAGGTAATGTTAACCTTGACCGTTATGTTGTTGTGTTATGATGGACTCCGATAAAGGATTGTATATATAACACAACAGGATGCATGAAATGAAAATTACTGATTATATCTTTCATAGTCTCTCATTCAAAAATCGCTTGGAAATTCCTCTTTATTGTATATTACAATCTTCAAGCAATGAACAGATAGACATTAACATAAATAATGTAATATACAAATAAGAGATTACATAATCTATAAAGGACCTGCACATCTCACAGAGACACCTTGAGACGTTATGGAATTGCCGTTGAAAGACTAGCTTTCAATATGAAGAATATGTATCTTCCTTTCTATTTCTGCAACTTGTCCAGAGAGTGTTCTCTAATCAATTTCCTATTTTCACTGAAAGGAGATACAATGTTAAACTCATGGACAGAGAGCACAGAAGTATCAAAAGAAACAATCACATATAAAGGAATGAAAGTTGGGAAGAGACCAGAGAGACAACTAAGCATCTTCTCTCTTTCTCTCTGTGACTGGTCAGGCCCTTATTCTTTTACATATTGCATCCTTCCTCCTCATACTTTTAAATTACCTGCTATCTAAACATTCCTATGATATGACACCTCAATTCTTATTGTTTACTTTGGCTGAGTCCCTGAAGTTGAAATACAGCATCTTTGAAGTTACCATACTTGTCATGCTCAGCTGCATTGGAACAATTAATGTTGTAAAATATAATGAAAACAACAATCTTTAGGTATTAATGAATTTTAAGTCATATTGTACATTGCAGTTTCTTTGTTGGGCTAATAACTCTCTTTTTATCAAACATCTTAAATTTATATGTTATAATCTGTGAACATTTAAAGTACATAAATCAGCGTATTTTCCTTTTCCTTGTACTGTTTCAAGACCAACAGAAATTATTATAAAATGATGAAGACAAGTGCAACATTCCTGAATTTCATTAATGTTAATTCATTAATGCAATAGCTACAGTTTTAGAACTTTTCATGGTTGTAATAACACTGTGAGGAAACTATTTTCCTGCAAATGTTCATCAAAAATGAACAACTACCCTTGGTACTTTTAACATTTGGTAGTCACATGCCAACACAAAAGTTTAACTCTTTAGACATGGAAAGCTGATGACACATTGCACATTGCATACACTTTATAGCTCCAATTAAATAAAACAAAAAAATACAAAATCAACAGAATTTTAAGACGACATTATAAGCATATTTGTGAAGAGTTGCAGATATGAAGAATGTGTCATCTAACCCAGAACATAAGCAGCAAACACGTTCTCATCAGTATGTACACAATGTCAAGTAGCAGCATGACTAACATATTCTTCACTAAAAATACAAATGACACTAGTAAATTATTTTCAGGGACTCCGTGTTTAATTTTCAAGTCACAGTATCAGGTACACAGGCACTGTCAGTACCTCCAAGTACTTTCACAGACATCACTACCATCACTGACAATACCATGGCATATGGCAGCGATGACCTTCTGGGTCATGATAGGTAAATCTCCTTCCCTATCTTGAATATACAGAACCGATCCACCTATCAGATGAAGAGGTTGAATCAATCATGTGACAAAGATTAACCCACATGTTTCTCTTGGTGACAACACTAATATTTAGTAAAAGTTCACTGGAATTAAGCAGACAAAGCTTAGCACTGTTCGAGAGCACGGCATGTAAAGGCCACAATATTATATAGTGATAACAAATATGCAGAACATATATTGCAGGCTACACAACAAATATTGTCACCCAGGATTTTGAGATTTCTTCAAACACACTGCCACTTTGTATTTCCACCATACAGTTTCTCATGCTACTCCTGCAATTTGAATAGTATTTATTGCATTTCCCTAACTGGTTAATACTGTAAAATGTGCAGTCATGACTTACAATTTATTAAAAATCTTACTAGTATTGGCACAAGCACTTATCATTAAAAGTGGTTCAGCCATTCTAAGATGTGTATCTTAGAATCCATGGCAGACATTATCTGGATAGGAGGGACCGCTATTGGTAACCTGGTGGTCTGTCATCCTCAAGCCTTAACACCTTCAATGTAAAACACCTTGCCATTGATGACAAAGAGCTTTGAGTAAAGGCAACTGAAGCCTACTTTCTTTAAGTTTGCAAAGAGCTTAATGCAAACCACATAATGGCAATTCAATATAAAGCTTATACAATGAGCAGACTACATGAACCAATGAACTTGACTGTGAAGCTTCTGTGTTATCAGGGGCTAGCTCACCAGTTGGCTACTGACTTTACTAGAACTAGCTGTGTGTCGTGTTCCGCCGAGTCTGCACTGATTATGTAGCATAATGCAATCTTGATCTCAAATCTAGCACTGGAACAGAAATTCACCTCTTTCTCTTGCTTGTTCCTCCAATTCTGAACATGGATACATTATGCATACCACCTATAAATTCTGGATACAATAATCGCCCTTTACTTTTTTTGGGTCATGTCAGTTTCAGTGGTATACTTCCACAAGTTAAAAAAAGACCAACTTTTCTGTAACCACTCATATAAAGAACACGCCACTTTAATCTCTGTATTGACACTGTTTATGAAAAGCACATGGGACACCTGCCACAGTGCTTAATCTTTACTGCGACTATTGATTGAGTTTAAACACACCTGGATATTACCTATTTCATCTTATGCTGCTGGGCTAAGATCCTGAACTAGTTCTTATTTTACAGCATTTATGTAGCTAAATAATTAATCATAAGCGCCAAGATGCATTCATTCGTTGCAACGCCCATTATACATTTTATAATTCTGACTCTTTTCAAGCCTCCAACATTTCATGATGCTCTCAACTTTTGTTAGGTGCAAGTGACACCAAAATAATGATATTGCCTCATGGCCAAGCGAACACTGCCCATTCATTAGCATTTGTTTACATCTGGTGGAGTTGGCAGGAACTCATCTGCTCGTTTGTGGTCGATCAGGGCCTTTAATGTATATGTGTCATGAGGAAGTTCTGACTTTCGCCGAAGCAATGGTTTCTCCTTGTTTCGTACTTTTCGGACCTAGGAAAACAAAAAATTTAAAGTGTAAGAAGGAATAAATTTTATATTGTATCACAATAAGATGCTTTCATCATCATCTATCATATCCATTTCTTCTCTTTATCCACCCTTTCATCTACCCAATTATATATAACTTCTTAAAAAATTACTAACCTTCAATTACACAGGCAAGAGAGGGGAGAAAATTACGGCAGTACAAAACACATATATTAAGAAAATGTGCCAAATGCTAATGTGATTACCTGAAATTTATCCGTTACTCTGTTTTGTGTCTTTGGTTTCATTTCTTTCTTTCATGAACACTTATTAACCTTCATCATTTTGGAACAGGGGATTTAAATCTCCCGGTACTATGTGGCTGGCAGCAATATTTTAATTTGCAGGTAATGGGAGCAGGACTGAAAAAAAGGTAATGCCTGGCCAGCAGGTCTGTTCACATAGGCCATTTCAATAATGCAAAGTATGGCCACCAAAGACTTATCACCTGTTCTACCAAAATGAAAGTATTGTGTTAATTAGTCATCAGATGATCAAGAATTAAGACTCACAGCTAAAGACCACACAGCCTTTGTAAATCTGACCTATGATCTGCCACCATGAAATGTACAAAATGCATTCGTATTTGCTAGTTTTTGAGCTTTGTAACACGTACTCTTCAACGGATAATTATTGTGGAAATTAAAACAATACATGTGAGGCATATGGAGGGAGGGGATGTAGAACAGATATAAAATTTTACTAATAAAACTTCATGGGAAGACATAATTTTAAAATGAATCCTAAAGAAATGGATGGGAAGGTTCAAGACAGCATCCCACGGCAGGCTTTTGTGACTGTCGAAATGAACCTTCTACACATATGCAGGGAATTTCTTAATAAGCTGAGGCTTTCTAAGATGCAGTTAATTAATTTCCTGTGAATAAATTTTGTTATCCTCTGAACTTACAGCAAATTTTGGTTCACTTATATTGGCCAACTGAATTAAAGTGGAAGAAATCAAAACTTGATTCAGGAGGAAATTAAGAGGAGACTGAACTCGGGCAATGCTTGCTACCATTCAGCCCAGAGCCTTTTGTCTCCTCGTCTGCTGTCCAAAAACATAAAAATCAGAATATACAAAACTATAATTTTGCCTGTGGTTCTGTATGGGTGTGAAACTTTGTCTCTGACATTAAGGGGGGAACATAGATCGAGGGGTGTTTGAGAACAGGGTGTCGAGGAGAATATTTGGACCAAAGAGGGATAAGTGACAGGAGGTTGAAGAAAACTGCATAATGAGGAGCTTCATAACTTGTTCTCTTCTCCAAGTATAATTAGAATGATCAAGTCAAGGAGGATGAGGTGGGCAGGTCATGTAGCACGAATGGGAGAGAAAAGGAAGGCATATAGGATATTGGTGGGAAAGCCAGAAGGAAAGAGGCCACTGGGAAGACCAAGGCATAGGTGGGTGGACAATATTAAAATGGATCTTAGACATATAGGATGGGATGGTGTGGACTGGACTGATCTGGCTCAGGACAGGGTCCAGTGGAGGGTTCTTGTGAACACAGTAATGGACCTTCAGGTTCCATAAAAGCCGGAAAATCCTTGAGTAGCTGCAGATTTGGCATCTCCTCAAGAAGGGCTCAGCTCCATAAGTAAGTACCTGTAAATAAATGACATAATATATCAGTCACCTCTCTAGCTTCAGCTTCCAGCTTTTCATACGTCATGTCATCTTCGGCATCTCCATCCAGCGGAGAACCCATGTCACTGATGCTGCTGTCTATGCTGTTGGTGCGTGAAGGAGCATAACCTGGATTCCTCATAGCAAGCTCTTCAACTCGTGTCCAAGCTTCATCTCGGTTCCTTTGCCGCTCTTTCTCTCTTCAAATGGTGCAAAGAAAAAGAAAGAACAATAACAAAGAGCAGGCCTTCCCAAGAAAATGTGACATATTGTACCTTAGAATATACAGTGAATACTCAGAATCCTTTCTGGAATAGTGAATTTAAACAGAAACTGAAGAAAATCTTAAATTTAACATTGAAATTACTGACTTGGGATTGCTGAAACTGAACATAAAATGAGGTTAAGACCTTGAACTGTGGAACATTAAATGGGGATTACAATATAAGAAAAAGTTCCAAGCAGAACTCATACAGCTTACCCTCCTACTGCAAAGACTTCTCTTCCTACCAATGTATTACTGCTTCTTGTTCTTGTGATTTGATTTTGCTTATTGTTAAAGTACAGATTCTGTTTATATTACATTTATTGGATATGAGCTTGAAGTCTTGCATCACCAGTAGGTTTACAATTGTCAACTTCCAAACAATATTCCACACATGATGCATAGGTGTGGGTGGCTGAGTGAATGGCTGGTTGGATGGATGGATATCCACAGATGGCATGGAAAACTCATAAGCCTACTTTCTTCCCTTAAGAAAGGAAAGGAGGCTAAGCTTTTAAATAACAAGTGTGCAACAACAGACTGTTATAATCAAGAAATATAGTTTTTTTCTACACAATGTAACTTTTTGTTTAAAATCTGGAGAACTTATATACAAGAGCCTTGTAAATACAGTAGCTTATCCATGCTTGTGTTTACCATGATTATATTTATTAGTTATGCATGGGTAGAAAGGAAAGGGATGTAAACTGCCATATCAGCTTTTGGAAAAATACATCAAGTACTTATGCAGGATAACGAATAACTTAAAAAGCAGGACACAGCTGCCATTTTATCGTGACTTCCTGTTGATATTGGAGATCAAGAATACTGTATCCTGTTCAGCCATTATTGAGTAATGACCTCAAAGCAAACAAGAGATTTTTAATAAGCAAGTATACGTGGCCATTACTGGGAACGCCTTTGCAAACAAAACAAATTCCCACAGAAACAACTGAAGCAACAACAGGAGGGCTATGTTTTCTGTTGGTCTGTGCTGAGGGGTTATAAGGAGGACAACTGAAGCAAGAATTGAGAATTGTATGAGTCTGTGAAGGAAGACTTGGTGAGTGCATTTGAAAAGTCTCCATTGTTAACATCCGTTACTAGGATATGACTAGTGAAAGCAGACTGAAAAGACTTAGGGTGTGCTGTAGTGTTTGGTAGAATGTGGACATCCGCGATGGTGCTATAGTTAAGTGTAGTCACAAGTCATGTGTTAAAGGGGTCAACAAATCCAATCTCCAATCTAATACCCCATTGAGAGTCACCCTAACAAGCGAAAATATAATCCATGGTATTTGTTAGTTCATGTCTATGCTACATTCCAAGTATCACTGAAATTATACCAACTGAAGTCCCAATTTTGTTACTAAATGCCCTAATTTCTCTAGGCTACACACTGTCCACTAAGTCTTTCAATGCTAGCATGAGAACTCACACGTCATGCTGGTCTAGAGTGATTTACAATGAAAGCCTGTTATAATTGGACTTTCTATCAGTGTAAGATTCTGAAGCTGGGTAGCAAAGATACTCACTTTTGTCTTTCCTGCTTATATTGCTGTGTACATTCATCAAACAGTTTCTGATTCATTTCCATAAAGAGTTTCAAGGCATTGTAAATTAATCCATGTATTGTTCTGAAATTGAAATCAGAAGCAAGTTTAAAATAAGCAAACCAACAGGGTATACAATATAAATGATTAGGTACAAAGGAAATTATGTTTTGAAAAGAAAAAAACCACTCACTTATTCCAATGGGATTTGGAGTTCCGATAAAGTGATGGAAACATAATGGGAAGTATGTCTGCAGCATTATCACTAATTAGAGACATTATATACTCATTGTTCCAGTAATACAGAGCCCTCTCTGCGACCTGTAACACAATGAAGACACGTTTATCAAAAGCAGCTTGCAAATGCTAGAAACAAGGGAGGAAGTTTGTTTAAAAATGATATGAGATGAGGACAAAGCAAGGAACGTGTTCTTCACCCTCACCCAACATTGTGACAATCTATTTGCAAGCTGAAATTTTCATCCTCCAGAAATAAAACACTATCAACACTGATCTATACATATGAATTCTTGAATATGGGAAGGGGAAATAAGATGAGATTTAATTATGATAAAAAATGCAAATATTCTATTACAAAGTGTCCTTTGAGAGTCTGACAAAGATATTATGGTATATGCAGTTGCCGTACAACAGGTGAATAGACAATGGTGTTACTCAACCTGTTTCTAGGCAACGGATCAGTAAACGCATTCCTGCAGCAATGAAAACGCACACAACAGGGTCACTGCTGGAAACTGTATCTTGTGCTTGGTCTACTGTGTTCATTCTCATAACAATCTCAATCAGAGTGATGTACATTTTTGTATCAAACTTTAAAATTGGGGGGGCACGCGGTAGCATAGTTGGTTGAGGCACTACGCTACAAGCTGGAAGGTCGCAGGATAGAATCCCTATGAGGTCGATTATTTTCAATTCACCTAGTCCTTCCAGCAGCACTATGACCCTGGGGTCAACTCAGCCTCTAACAGAAATGAGTACCAGGAATATTCCTGGGGTAAAAATCCTTGTGTATTTAGCACTTTCAAAATTACATACGTGTTCATTAGCTCTTTTCAACTGCAATTAACTATTTCCCTGAAAAACTTCCCATTTCAGTTCAAAAGTATGAACATGCAGAAAATGAGCAAATATTGTATCATTCATAAATTAAACTTACCTGAAAGTGTGGACTGGAGACACATTTAGCCAACTGCCGGAACAATGGATCCATAACTTTCTGAAATTCTGCAGGCTCAATAACATCCAAAATCTCTTCTAGTTCATTTAGAAACATTACCTGCATGAACACAGCAAAGTTGTATAAGAGGATCTGACCAGTACTCGATGTGCAGTTTCATGTAACATGGGAGTAATGGAATACCGGTAATAAAGGATGGTGATAAAATAAAAAGTGACCATACAAATTGTACAGTTATAAGAAAAATGCTTAGACAGGAAATGCATATATTGCAAAAATTTAAAAGCAATAATGGGCAATTCAAGCAAACATAAAAGTATTAGGATAGGGAAAGTATTGTGCTTATGTGAGAGAAGTCAGGTTTTAAGCATGAAATATATGCTGCAGACTTACCTCTTTGGGTGAGTGTGTCTTGGGCCAGAATTTGAGCAGGCACCTGATAACAGGTTCTGTGAGGGAAGCGTCCTTCTCAAGGAACTGCACCACACAATAGGCCAGCTGTGGGTGATACACTGACAGCGACTTCACCTTGTGTAGGGGCAGTAACACTTTCAATAAGAAAACTTTATGTTCCTCCTTCAGTGGCAGAGCGAAGCCATTAATAATGCTGCAACAGAGTCACACCTCTCTTCAAAATGCTTACTGATATACATTCAACATATACACTAAAAATTAAAAATTCATGCCTAGGGCTATGCACCATGCCAGGAAGGCATATAAGCAGGAGTGCAAGTAAGGCGCCATGCACTCTTGGCTTCAGCAGCAGACAGTGAGTGGTCAGCTACAAACTACTGCAATTTTAATTCTGGGAATGAATCCCTAGTACCTCTCAGAACAGGTCTGGTGTACCCCAGAGCAATTCTGAATGTGACAATGACAGAATCTAAGAAACATCAAGTCACTTCACTGCATGAGCTACTATAATTCACACATAACTCCTTGTTTGATCAGAAACCCCATTAATTTACAAAGGCTACTATGTGAAGGCCAATGATACTTTTCACACAGCTTCAGAAGCTAGAAAATGTAAGTTGCTAATATGAAGAAGGATCCAATGGCAACTCCAGTAGTTTCAAGATGGCTAAATACTGTCAACAGTATACATAAAAAAGGTAATGCTATCTGTGCAACAAGTTATGGAGCCCCATAGAGTTGTGACACATTGAAGTTCCCACATTTCTCAGACAACTGGCTCACAAATGGCAGTGAGGTTGCCAGCCTTACACACTGGCCACTCTTTAACCTCAGGAAAATTCCTGGTACTAATTTCTGTTACAGGCTGAGTCAACCCAAGGGCCATACTGTGGCTGGAAGGGTTAGGTCAAGTGAAAAATCCAATGACCTCATCGGGAATTGAACCTGTGGCCTTTTGGCTTCTAGCATAGTGCCTCAACCAACTACATGACTGCACAGCCCCATCAACGATATATGTACTAGATGGAAAATCATGAACAGGATTTCTCTCAAGTTTAAATGTTTTGTTAGAGATACTGTACAAAGACATACCTGCCCAATATTTCAAGCAGTTCAGCAATCCCATTATGGTGTTCAGTTTCATAGATAAACCTGCAAATAATTAAATAACAAAATTTAATGGCAAAGAAGTCAGCCTGTTCCATATATATTATAGCTCACAAGCCACAAAGCACTAACACAATCATGGAGGGGAAGGCAGTTTCCAGTATCTGTGATGAAAGTGCTTTCTGTGCTGTGCCATATTTCAAAGGTTGCAGTTCATTCATTTCCTGGTAGAGGTCTATGATTTACAGGACCATATAAACCTGACACACTAAACATCACAAAAAAAACAAACTATTTCACTAAACTGAGGACGAACTAAGCAAAAGAAATATGAAAATTGAGGTTCTAATGGTACTGAGTATTATGATCACCTATCTACTAAACTCTATGAAGCTACATGCTAGAAGGCTGTGATTCTGAAAGGAAAAGGAAATATTAAAAAAAATGCCCATCTGAGAATTACATCAACTGAGAAAGAAGATTTCACTGGACAAAATAAAATGTTTCGTAAGATATCACTGTCTCAAAATGTACAAAACATGTTCCAAGATGAGCTATGTATACCTGAGCAAAATCTGGTTTGAAGAATACATTTTGTGGTGTGCACTACGGCAAAGGTGCCTGGCTGGTGCAGATAAGGCATCAACAAGCTCTCCAGTCTAAATAGAAATGCTGAAGTTTAAATTAGTCTTACCTATAAAATATGTTGTTAATTTGTTTTCGAATGTATGCACGAAGTCCCAGGAATTTACCATAAATTCTATGTAACGTCGTTTTGAGGAAATCCCGTTCTCTTGGATCTTCTGAGTCAAATAATTCCAATAGCTGAAATGGCAAATGTTTATGTTAATAAATAAATATGTATGTGATTTCTTGCTTGGAAATTAAATTGCTCAAACATAGGAAATCCACAATCCAATAACTGAAAATAAGGACTGTTTAACGTATATGAATTAAAATATACACAACTCACTGGAGACATAAGACAATGAACACTACAATACTTTCTGGATTATGTCTTAAGTAGCAGAATCAAAGGGATTTCATAATGTATTTCTGTCATTACTTTTTGACAGTATGACTACTGCCATTTCAGTTCAGTATCAAGACCAAACGAAGTCCCATGGATCAACACCCTCCATATCTCCCACAAGTTGTTGTGCTTTCTCCTTCAGTCATCTAAGCATTCTGTTTATAGGATGTTGGAAGTGATAACCATGTGATAATCTTCACTACTCATAAGCACTTCTGTCTTGTTGACACATCAGAGATAAACGAACAGTAAGCAGACAGGAGGAAGCTTTGGGTGATGCAATCCCCAACATCCATGGAATTTCTTCTTTTATTACCTCAGTATAATATATCTTGAAATTCTTAAGTCAGTTATCTTCAATACACTGGCACAAAGTGTGTAAAGGAAATAATTAAAATATCTAAAGATTAAAATCTTAACAGAAACTCCCAAATGAAGACAAAATTCAATTCTGAACAGAGACTATTTACCTGTTTCCACATACATCTTGTGATAGGAATCCTGAATGATATTACATTTCTTATCTGAAGCCAGCATAATTCAATGAATTTATGAATTTTTATATTTATAACAGTTATGTTCTCTATGCAGGGCACGTGGTAGTATAGTTGGTAGCAGCACTAAGCTACAAGCTGGAAGGTTGTGGGTTCAAGTCTGGATGAGGTGGATATTTTCAATTTACCTCATCCTTCCAGCCTCACTATGGCCCTGGGGACAGCTCAACCTCTAACAGAAATGAGTACCAGAAATTTTCCTGGGGGGTAGAGGATGGCTGGCATGTAAGGCTGACAACCATACTGCCATCTGTGAGCTGACTGTCTATACAGAAAATGTGGGAGCCTTGGCATCTCACAACGCTATGAGACTTCACAGCGTGCTACAGGGATAGCTTTACCTTTACCTTTGTGTTCTCTACACATTCAATGAATAATGCTGTATTTACTTGGAATTTCCCTACATACAAAATTGGGGATAATAATTGATTTTTATTAGTTCTCACTATAGTTTTTCCATTTCTAATGTGGTTTTGTCACTAGTTTTGGAAATAAACAAAATATGAATCCTAACAATTTCCATATTTCTCAGTATTATACCATTTAGTAATCTTTTCAATGATGATAAAGCAAACATGTCAGCTTACTGGCTTTTTCACAACCACTAAATTTTAGAAATGTTACTAACCTGCAAAACAAATTTCTGGTCAATATACCTCTTGGCGGCATTTGGTTGGAAGTCAGGTGATTCCAAAAATCTGTAAAGAAATAAACATATCTGTCATCTGTACGTCACAGAAATGTCTATCACGGTGGCTGCACAGTCTAAAGCATGAACTGTTTTCACTTCCTCGAACACTGGGATTGTGGGTTTGAATCCCACTCAAGACGTGGATGTCTGTGTGTATTTATTCTGTGTTTGTGTTGTGCGTAGGTAGCGGTCTTGCGACGGGCTGATTCCCCANAATGTCTATCACGGTGGCTGCACAGTCTAAAGCATGAACTGTTTTCGCATCCTCAAACACTGGGATTGTGGGTTTGAAAGCCACTCAAGACGTGGATGTCTGTGTGTGTGTTTATTCTGTGTTTGTGTTGTGCATAGGTAGCGGTCTTGCAACGGGCTGATCCCCCATCCAAGGAATCCCATCAACTGTGTATGGATTAAGAAACTAAAAAGCAGCCAAGGTCCACAAGGGCTGTAGAGTTATAGACAGACACATGGATGGATGGATGCCATAGGAATGTTCAATTCAGAACTAACTTTTCACACATCCTAGTTCAACACAAATTCCATCTGGGGAGCACTGAGAACACAATGACAGCGCCACAGACAAAGGCAGAAATCATCCTCCAAACCGTAGGGTAAAGAGTGAAAAGTACAATCAGTGTTCCTGCCAAGATTAGAAATCTGCATCTCCAGAACATTATTCTGAGGCATTACTATTCAGTTATTCCAGAACAGGAGACTGCAGAATCTTGTGCTCTCTTCCATCTTATAATCATATTCACTTCAAAGTTTCACCATATTCAAGTTCCACCATCAAAAGCATAATAAGTTAAATCATGAAAATATAAAATAGTACATCACCTAAGGAAGAATTCATACACAAGTTGCAGATGTGGCCAAGCAGCCTCCAGTGTGGGTTCATCCTCCTCTGGGTCAAACTCAGCACCATTTGGATTACTTGAGGGGGGAAGCGTCCGGAAAAGATTAACTGCAAACTGATAAACCAAATAAATTAACAAAGCAGCAGAGATGTGATGAAACAAATTAAACACAGTACACTGAGGAGTATTAATGTGTGGAGTTTGTCATGACTGGATACCTTTTTAACAACGAAACATGGATACATGCTCGATAACTTCTGAAATTATTTAATAACTATATCTTTCTTGAGCACATGAGACTTATAAACCAGGGTACGAAACCCCATGACCCGCCAAGATGGGACAATTCAGTCAGTACAGTGATGGGCTATTGGATGAAGGACTGGGGTTAGATTCTTTGCAGGGAGAGGGAAATGTGGGAGAAATTATCGGAACAGATTTGCATATTTTTCTGGGTAGTCTAGTGTAACACTAAAATCTTTTGCAATATTGCTGTAAAGTGCATGCAGGGTGATGCAAATATATTTTCAAACTTTCAGGTCACTCCATCAATGGGGGAAAATTGTGTGTGACACGCAGAGAGGCCGATGAAGAGCTGGGAATCAGAAACCTCTATAGAAAATGGGGAATCTGTGGACCCTCATTAGTAGCCTTGATGAGACCAGACCTCTGGCAGAGAAAACGGTTCAGCTGAGTAGCGAGTCCCACTTGGACAAACATTGTGAGTATTAATGGTACAAAGATTTGGATTAGTTTATGTTGCTATTCACTGTATTCACAGATTAACTTATTTACTGTATACTGTTAATGCTGTGCTATTGACACATTTTGAAGTTTTCACAACATCAGAATATAATTTTGAAATTTCATAATGGCAATTCAGTTCTCACTATTCACATTTTCTCTGTTTCATAAGAGCTGTCCAAGTCCAAGTCAAATTGTGACTGATGGTCAGTCAGTCAGTCATTAAGTCTTGGTGTCAAGACCCATCTAGGGCTCATGACCAGATATTTATTACTGTTTGGCATTTACGGTCTTGTTTTTGTGGGGCACCCTCTGTAACGAGAGGATGGGTCTGCCTTTTGTATATACTGCTGGCCCTTGCCAGTACAGTCTTTCTAGTGTCTGAGTCCCTTGGCACTTGCGACCATATTTCACTGTCTCAGATTTGAGACTTCCCTTTTCGTTGCCTCCTACGACTCGCAGGGTCACGATGGAGGTATTCGACTCCACCTCCACATGGGTTATAAGAGCTGTCAATATTTTTATTCCTATATATTTCCTAGATTCTATGAGGTGTGTTTCCTGTAGTTTCAGTTTCTCCCCTGCAGTGGAAGAAATACCTTGTTGTGGAGCTAAGGGCATTACAACTTCCATCCACATCACTAGTAAAGCACCACAGACTGCAGAGTTTAATGCAGACAGTGATGAGACTTATAAAGCAGGGTACGAAACCCCATGATTACACGATCATGAAGGTAAACTTCGATATATGATATAAATTCCGTCCTAAGTGCAACAATTTATTGTAGGTCTTTCGTTTTGCTTTCTTCTACACTACACTACACTACACTACGTGAGTGTATACACCTGATGATGGCCGTTTGCGGCCGAAACATGTAGCGTAGAAGAAAGCAAAATGAAAGACCTACAATAAATTTTTGCACTTAGGACGGAATTTATATCATATCATATAGAGTGTAACAGGATGCTTAAATATAATATTGTAAACTTCGAGTTATGAAAAATATACTATGGATTTTAAATTGCCAAAATCACAAGATTATAAGACTTATAAATATAAGTATATATATAAATATATATAAGACTTATAAGAGACTTATAAATAATTACACTGCCAAGGAAGCACGTGTAAGTAATGAAAATTGGGATAAGTATTAAGCAGCCATGATGTAGATTAAAAATTTACACATTTCTGAACATCTCAAGATTTTTTTAAGAAAATTACCTGACCAAAATCGAAAATAGGGATTCTGAAAATAAGACTGGATAACTGAGCGGCTCAATATCCGTGTGTAAACCATACTGTTCAGGAAATTGTAATCATCGAAATTTACGGTTATGTTAATTAACAAGTGAAGCGACTGGTTTGGGGCCAGATGACCGGGTTTTGATTTCAGCAGGAACACATCCCAGGTATCCTATCTAGCAAATGACAAGGCCGGAATCTCGATGCCCGGGATTAAAGTGGCCATTCATATCATCTATTGACGAGATTTACAGGACAAGGCACCGAGCTTCACTTGCACGCCTGCCATACCCTTTCACGGAGCGGTCCTTAGTCACAGGGGCAACTTTACTTTTTTATTGATTTCGATATTTAATATAACTTTTATTGGCGCCCCGGTCTCAGAACTGTAGACGAAGAATGCTGACATCACACGACGATTAACTTCACTTCCTCTAAACCAAATCATGCTAACCTCACGTTTACATTGCCGATAACTCTTTGACGTCACGAACTATTCACCGATACTATTCCGTGACGTAACAGCAGCAACAAGAACAAAAATGAGCGATCTTATCGAAGAAAACTGTGATAACTGTGGATGTATGTTGCTCAAATCTTGAAGATTAACTGGTACAATTACAGTGGTCGCGCGGTCTGCGGCATGAGACGTCTTCGCCCGCTAGAACACTGGGATCGTAGGTTTTAATCCCACTCAAGGCATGGATGTTTACGTTTATTCTCTGTTTGTGTTGCCCTGTGTGTTGGTAGCGGCAATTGCGACGGGCTGATCTCCCGTCCAAGGAGTTCCACCTCGCGTCTATAAGATTAAGAAACTGAAGTGAGACGAAGCGTTTCACGGGTGCCCTATGCTCTAAGTGGGAGCAACAGAGCCGGATGGATGGAGAGACAGAACTGGTACAGAATAACACTGTTCTTTATTACATTAGATACAGACTCTCTGAAAGTAGGACGCATGTATATTTTGTACACATTCTCTGCCAGTTTCATGAGCCTTTTCAGCGTTTTTATGACGGCGAAGGGGTAACACACAGAATTCCTTGATCGAAAATGAACCGTCAGACACCATATGCAGTGGATATATATACACATTTGGTATCGAATTTCTTCAAATGACGTTTCTTTTTTGCAAACAACTTAGGTCTAATGAAAGCGGCCTCCGTAGTCTAGAGGTAACGTTCCCACCTCATGACTCGTAGTACGCGGATTCAAATACCCGGCGGAGGTCGTCGAATTTTTAAGGGCGGAAAAATTCAGGGAACAAGTCCTCCGGGAGGGACTTTAAGCCGTCGGTCCCGTGTCGTAGCTTTACGGCATGTAAAAGAACCTCATATCTCCAAAGGAGGTCACTGAGCCACATTAACGGACGTTTCCCGCCCAACAGCAGTCTCTAATACCTCTGGTAGATGGGGGAAGCATTATAGATACCTCTCAGCTAGTAGAGCCGGTCTCGTTGGCTGGGCGGGACTGATGGTAAGCACCAGTACCGGCAGGATATAGAGACTGGTAGAAATCATAGAGGGAAGCACAATGGACCAATACAGGTCTCAGTGCATAGGGAAAACCCACCCTCTCCAATAACCAACTAACTAGGTCTAAGCATAAGTACAGCATCACCAATAAAGACTTACGAGTAACGTAGTATTACTATTGAGTTGTTCCCTCTCTGGGAACTTGGGCCAAAATTAGACCATGCTTCATTTGAAACAATAGAGCCTACCTACACATTACACTGTTTGGCTGACATATATGAAGATCAAACATAAAATGGAAAGTTCCGTAAAATAACGGGATGAGAAGACAACAAAATTTCTTTTTCAATTTCGTGGGGTGGGGTAAGACTGAGTCCTCTTGGTACGTTGGCCACTAACTGGCCTACTGTACCAGCCCCGGATAATAGATGAGCGTGGGGCATTTGGCGAAATGAGAATTGACAGGAGAAACCGAAGTACTCGGAGAAACCCTGCCCCAGTGCCACTCTGTCCACCACAAACCCCACATGGCATGACATGGGACTGAACTAGGGCCGCCGCGGTGGGAAGACGGGGAACCAACCGCCTGAGCTATGGCGCGACCAGTACCACATAATTTGATGTATTCCTTAATGTTTCATTATTCAATTAAAAAGGCAAAGTTACTATGTCACGAAGGTGTATGGAGGAGTGGATGTATAGATCCACATTTTCTTTACCTCGGCACTAGCTGGAGGTGAGTTAATTTAGGTTATATTTCACTGGGGCAAATGCAAGGCTATAACATTTTTCTTATTTTCTTTTCATTACAACATTTTTATTGCGACATTAGCCAAACTACAGACGGCAATAAGCCCAAGCGGAGAATAAACGGAATTACATTTCTGAAATATATTCCGTGTCATACAGAGACATGGTATCAAGGGATTTCATTTCGAAATCGGTATAATCTAGACTGCCATTTTTTCTCCAGGAAGCCCCGTTCAGTTACTCTTGAGGAGAGCTCAAACATGAATTCAAATATGTGCTTTTAAAACCAATGGCTTTCCGAGCAACAGAATGTACAAATAAAAATGTTTCAGAATCAAATAAGAGAAGTAAATCAGTGTTCCGAATATCGTATTATATTAACAAATAAGCACACAGAAAGCAAACGAATATAACTACTGAGAACAGCATAATATATAGAAACTTCAATAGCAGAAATTACATTCCAAATCAAAAGACGAGTGAACATATTAGTATGAGTAGCAAATTAATACTATTATTGAATTTCATAACAAAGAAATAAATTACAGATATACGTTGATAGCACTGAAGAAAATCGCTTCCAAAGGACTTCTGAATATTGATCCACGAGGACAAGGTAAGGTAACGTAAAGCTATCCCTGTAACAGGCCGTAGAGGCCCATAGGATTGTGAGACGTTGAGGTTCCCACATTTTCTAGAAAATCGGCTCACAGATGGCGGTGAGGTTGCCAGCCCTACGCGCTGGCCGCTCTTTACCCCTAAGAAGATTCCTGGTACTCATTCCTGTTAGAGGCTGAGTAGACCCCAGTGCCATAGTGCGGCTGGAAGCAGTAGGTAAATTGAAAAAAATCCATCTCATCGGGATTCGATCCCGCGACCTTCCGGCTTGTAGCAGAGTGCCTCAACCAATTACGCTACCGCGTGGCCGCCCACGATGACAAGGTAGTAACTGGAAATCATCATCATCATACAACAAAAGGTTTCCAAGAAGAACCTATCTTCCTAAGTTTACAGCCCTACAGGCCTATCATCATCATCATCATCATCATCATCATCATCATCATCATCATCATCATCATCATCATCATCATCATCATATTTTTGTGTGCTTGCTACTCAGGAATAGAATCTCTGTTAATTTTGTTGGATATAAATTTCAAGTTACAACATATCGTCGCTGTTTGTAATGGTTAACTCACAAGCAATATTCATAGGCCTACATGACGCGCAAATATGTTTACATTCCATCTTCATATGAAATTTCAGACTCCAACACTTTATTAGTTATCATCGACGTGGCATAACGTCCATACCAAGGTTCGTCAATATCTGTCAAATTGTTCAAAAGTTTACAAAGCGAGACAGGAGACAGCGTTACACTCACTCAAGGAAGTGCGGAGATCATTGGGTGTACGGCATCAAGCTCTTGATTGCGACGAAAAGGCCCAGGCTTTCGAATTTCCGCTGCAGTGCGCGCAGTAAAATGTCGGCGGCTGTCTCGATGACGTATTCAGATTTCCGTGGTTTTCCTCGGTACTAGAGCAAATGCTGAGTTGGTACCCAAATTCCACGTTGCACTGCATGCCTCACATGCAGCCCTCCCATTGTTAACATCAAAATTTCGCATTAATATAGCCCTCCCAACGTTAGCAAAAACAAACAAAAATAAAAATTAAAAAATCCGATCATATGCTCTATCTTTACCAGAAGGATAAGCGGGCACTGCCTGGGAACCTTCAAAATCGGAGATATAGTTTCTTATCACCCCCGCCCGCCCACACAGTGTATACGTATTCAAAGATAAAGAAAAAACCTTGTTGATATATCATTGTATTTTTTGGACGACATATGCAGGACGACGCGTGTGGCTCAGTCCTCCAAGTTTCTGATCTGTGGAGCGAACTTGTCCCCTTCCCCCCACATTTCATGTGAACAAGCACATCATCAGGCGCCCTCCCGAAACGTGGTGGCGGCTGAAAATCGAGCTCTTTTTTGGGGGAGAACTAAACGGTGGAGATGGTGGGTTCTGACGTCACAGGAAAGGAGGGAAGAAAAGGCGATATGAAATCGATATCCGAGTAAGAGACGCTTTACAGATCAAGAAAACGCATCAGAAGATTGCCTTTCTTATCCGACCCTCTCTATGTACAGCTTGGGGGCTTAGTTGCCGGGTTCTCACCGCAGAAGCCGAAGTTCAATCCCAGGGGTTTAGACACAGTGGCTTTAGGGCAAGATTTTCTATACTTTTCCAATTCATCCGTATTTGTTTAATTATCTAAAGAAAAGACTTAAGGTT